CTCTACACGCTACAAGCTGATGCCATTGCTTCGTAAAACCTACAGCCTGTCTACATTTAGACATCTGATAGATTAGAGCAATGCTTTGAGTGCTTGCTCTTCAAAATATGTCGGAAACTCCAAAAATGAAGATTATTTGTAGAGTACTAGTTTCTCCCTTTATGTGCATGCTCTGATGCTGTGCTCGTTACAGTACAGCAGTGTGGGGTTTTTTCTTAACTACAGATTCTTTCAGCACACAGGATAAGCAGTTAGCCTTTATTTTCTTCTGTATCAATTGAACGCTGAGTTTTATCTGCAGATAAAAGTTACCTGCAGTAAATCAGACTGGAAATCTTGACTTAGACACCCAGACAAACTATCAGGTACTGTAAGAAACTTGCCTTGTGTCACAAGAAACTCTGAGGTAAACGCAGGGATGACATCTCCTTAGCTATGGCAACACTCAGCTCCCTAACCCACAGGGCGATTCGTTCTCCTGACATCTCCTGCCTCATTCTTCCATGCAGAAGGGTGGACTCAAGACCACGGATCGTGGACCAGCGATGTCAAGCACTTCCAGAGCCATACAATGGCTTTGTCCTGCCACAAAATGGTCTTAAATCATCTGTATGAGCTTTGAAAATATTACAACCAATGTCAACATGCTCAGAGAGGAAAATGCAAGGCAACTTGACTAAAATATAAATACTATGAACACTCCACGTGCCAGACAGTAAGAACTATCCTGTTACGTGCAGGATAAAGGATCTCAGAAATGTTTTCCAGTTTATTCTCAACAATTTTTCCAGTGACGCTTAGCATCTTATTTGTTCTTTAAATATGCAATATTTTGTGTTTATTGACACTGAAGTTCAGGTGACATCTAATCACTCAACTCTTCAACACATCAAATCCTTCTACAATTCTATATTCAGCCTATAAAAAGCAGCAATCATTGTAACCTATTTATATGCTTTCCAGATCATTTCTGTATATACTGAACAAGCAGTTATTTATTCCTACCTTTTCCTTTCTTTTTTTTTAAAGCCAGCTGTTAACCTATGAACAGACTTTCCCTGGCTTTTCACGGAAGCCCAGAAGACTGCCTTTAGCAGATGATCCCATTCCAGTAGCTGAATTGAATTTCTAGGTTATAGATGGTGCCAGCCTTATATTCTGGATGAAAGTCCGTACTCACAAAGAAAAGAATGGATTTGAAAAACTTATGGGGATTCCTATGATATTATCTCTAGCACAGTGGCTACATTTCCAGAACACAGCTTGAAGAAAAATTTTAAAAAAACACAATAAAAATAAAACCAGTTTAAGCCCTGTACTCCAAGGGTTAAAATGTCATTACCCAGAAGGCATCAAACCAACTAAACATATCGTAATGGACTATGTAAATTTTATGACTAAAAAACATTCTTTTCCTTGCCTCTCACATAGAAAGGCGCAGCTTGAATTGAAAGACCAGAACTTTTACTCATGGCTCTGCACATATGAATGATAAGAGTACATTATTTCAAAAATAAAGAGTATATATTTCAAAAATACTGCAGAAGTCATATTCAGGAAAATAATTTGTTATGTTCTCCCCATCTTCCAGAGCTGTCCAAGCAGATAACTAACTGACATCTGGCAGCCAGAACTCTTCAAACCAGTGTAAAGAAGAGGTCTGAATGACTACATAGCAAAGGAAAGAGAAATATACGACATTAACTGAAAAAATTCAAAAGCATCATGCAATCTTATCTATTCCAGACTAGTAGGGTCGTCTGTAAGTCCAGCAGCAGGTACCCACAGAGCACACACCTCTGTATGAAAGAATGAAAGAGCTTATCTTCCACACGCCACATACAAATACACATTTCTCAACCCAAGGAAAGGGCAAATCTGAAAAAAACTGCTTCTCAGTCAATGAACTCAAATAAGATAGGACTAAAATCTCTCTAATTTTCTTGGGACAGGAAGCCAATAATGATGTAACACCTCCAAACTGAAACCGAGGAACATTTAATTTCACTTAAGAATTAGAATAACATTGCTGTAGCACAGTTTAGCAAAAAGGGAATCTACAAGAGATGTCCACGTTTAACCTAGAATTCTCCACACTGTTCACTTCTCGGACACTTGAGCTTTGAACCCTGTGGAAGGAGACTGTGTATCACCAAATTGCACAGAATCTATTGCAATAGAGCTGAAATCCTAAATTGAGACTCTTGATGCAAATAAACACCACCAAACCCACCAATTCAGCCATCCAAAAAACTTAGGTAGAACTTAAGATGTATCATTATAAGCAATCTTCTCTTTACAGAACATAAGAATCACCGAACTCTGTACGTCCTAGTGCCATGAGGAATATGATCAGACCTTACTGTATTGTTAGAGGTCTGATGAGACAGAGATTTGAAGACAACAAAATTGTCAAATTGTTGTACTCAACAATTTGAGTACAACAAAGCAAAAATAAATGCTTATATCCAGTTAGCATTCAGTAATTTTCAAATTAAAAAAATTAAAGGTGATGTATGCACATTCTCCCCAAAAAAAGTCAATGAAGTGCAATGACTAACTTCTCAGTCCATTTAAAAATTCAACCCTCACTCACTAATAAAGCTGAAATTAGAAAACCTAAAACATTGCCTCAAACCAAAAATTACCCTTTTGTTCCTCTCCCATAATATAAAGATGGTTGATAACGGGTATCAAATATCCATTCTGATTATATTAAAGGACTATTCTTCATCTTCCCTTAAACTCATGCAATCAGGCTTTTCTCCTTTTTGCTGAGCTCCTAGAAAACAATAAACATTTTCTAGTTTCCTAAAGAAGTTTTTGGAGCTGATAAAACAGTAGGTGAGGCTGCCTTGAATTGCTGTTCATCAGAAAGCTCTTCATTAACATTAAATATTTAACTTTCTCTTATTCTAGTTGAAAAACAAAAGAACCACATTAAAAGTTATTAAACAAAAACACCTTTTCTCAGTAGGCAAAGATGCCCATTCTTTTAATAAATCCACTGATTGTTTAAGAAATCTTTTCACTAAAGATAAGTGAAGACCTGCTGGGCGTCGCAATGGTGATTGTCTTTTTTGATGTTACTGAAAGAGTCTGAATGTTAGTGAATTGGCTAACGGGGTGTGAAACTAGACAATGCAAATACAGAAGAGAGCAAACTCAGTATATTGTGATTACAAGGACTGTTATTTACTTGTTTGCATGAGTTTGTGCTTTCATAATTAGACTGGACAACAAAATTCTGCAACAAAAAACTGTAACTTCTGCAGCAATTTGTAAAATATCCAAGGAGATGTGAAACACTTCTGAATATTTCTCCCAAATATCACACAGATTCAGGACAGAGACCAGAGGAAAGGCATGATATATCTTCACAAGACAAAGCTAATGTGGCAGCTCTAAAAAGTTGAAACAGTTGTATTGCTTCTTCAAGAAAAGAAGGTGGTAGTAAAGTTAAAGCAATTACCAGGATCATCAAATTTTGTTACCTTCAAGCTGCTGATTCGAGGGACCTGTTCTCAAAGACCAGTGAAGATCAATGATTCACACGTGCTAGAGGTCTGAGTGCTCTCCAACAGAGAGGCAGGGAGCAGAGCTTCCCACTAAGTATACGGCAGTTCTGGTATTTTCTCATTATGTCATCTCTTCCCCACCCTCACCTCTTTTGGATGGGGACTAGCTTTCATGTGTGTTCACAAAGCCTGCTTGCTTTCAGGGCCTAGAGATCTCAATTAAATACAAGTAATAAACTGACACTGCAGCAGGTCGATTATACTAGAACGCGCATAAACAACACAAATGTCTTTTGGCAAACAGGCTAGGGGAAAGACGGTATTTTGTTAAAAAGCAGTTGACAATTTTACTTTAAAACCATAAAGATTAAAATACACCATCTTTCAAGTTTTAACACACGCAAACACCTAACAGGTACCTAACAGTCACTGAACTACCTCAACCAAAATAGAAGTAAGGGAAACAGAGTAGCTCAGAGGAAACCCTTCAGTGAGAAAGCAAGCAATCCAGACTTCCAGGACCTTAAAAGGTATTTCTCAGATGCCTGGACTTCTACCAGTGTACTGTCCTTGAAACTTACCTTGGAACACCGTCTTTTACAACAGCCTCTGACTTGTGGGTGTCTAATAAATTTGAAACTCATGTCTCATTCTAACTGCTAGAAGATGAAAGCAGCTTTCGAGCACTCACTTAATACAGGTAATTTATCATAATTTGCTTGGGGGTACCTTGGAAAGTTACCTTAATAGAGAGATGGTGTAGCACCCTCAGATATATTATGGTTGTGACACAAACTGAATGTTCTTTCTTCAGACTTTCTAAGCATGAGAGCATATGGAGTATTTGTCTGACGAGATTTAGAGATTTATCTGAATAGCAGGCATTACTTATAAGAACAAATACTGGATGAATCAAGGAGCATATATAGGGAGTATTTAATCTTTAACGTGCCAGCTTGAAACCGTAAAGGTCAATTGAAAACAAGCACCAATGTGATGCTAAGTTTAGAGAGCCTACAAAATGAGTCTGTACGTAGTCCGATTCTTTCAGAAAATGCTGCTATATTTTATATCATTGTTGGTAAAGGGCAAAACACGATTAAAAACAAAGGTACGCTAAACTCCACAAGAAGGCTAAGACAACACAAGTATTACAAAGTATTACAAAGTATTCTAGAAGTGTTATAAAAATAATCTTCTGACAACGAAGCCTACTAATCTGTTACCCTATACAAGCCAATAAAGAGATACTGTAACTCCCTATTCTACTGGTGACTTTAATGAAAACAGCATTTTACCAAGTTTGAACACATTCCTCATTTTCTTCAAGAAAATCACCTTTTTCCCATTCAGCTGAAATACGTGCAAACGGTGAGCACTTTTGAAATTAAATGCTGCATTTGACACTATAAAAAAAAAATACATTTTTTTTAAATCTCTGTGCCCTTCACTAAAACAAAAATGTCATGTGAAAGGTCATACCTGAGGCCGCATCCTTGGGTTCCATCTGACGTAGTAATTCACCCACAGTTCCAAATGGTTCAGACTGGCAACAGGATACAGGACATGGTTTTCGTAGTTTACATAGAAAGGATTTGTGAACTCATCTAACTGGCTGTTTATGTAGGACCACAGCGATAGAGTCTTTGTGCTTACCTCCTGATTGAAAAAAAAATAAATTAATTGTATGGACTGCAAAACCTGAAAATATAAGGTTAATATTTACATATCAGTAATTTTCTCTGTGAAATTTACCTTATCTACTACAAAATTGCAAGCGCTCTGAGAACACTTCCAGTAGCTGATCATTAAACAGCCTTAAAACTTTAGCAAGACATTTGAACGCTTATTCTGGTTCAAGGCTAACTGAGAAAGGACATTCAGACATATTATTTTCAGAGACACTAAGGTCTAGTTGAGCAAAAGCAAGCTGCACTGCTCGCAATTTACAGTAATGTTAACAGCTACTTAAATACATGGTTACACACTGACCAACTAAAAAAAATAAAATTAAATTAGCTTTGACAAGATAGTCAGTGAAGAGATACATAGTTTGGAAGATCCAAAACGCATCTGTGAAAAATAATTATTCAATTCTCCCACTCACACTATTTGCTCCTATCAACTGATATTATGCTTTAAAATGCCTGTTTTATCTTTATTTGCACTTCTGAAAGTTGTATTATTCTAAGTGTAATCAGCATAATCATGGTTAGATCAAAGATTGGAAATCTGAACTTACATCAGATTCATCTTGCAATTTTACACTCCCTCAGTGTTGTAAAGCATGTGTTTCTACTACCGCTGTGTCTTAAATTGCATTTCTTTATTGAGAATCGGCTCTGACTATTCATTTATGAAAGAAAGCTGTCTGGAAACCCTGCATTTGCTGAGAACATGTTATTCAGCTCCATCTTGTGGTATTTACATGCAAGTTTGTCCCTACAGAAGCAGAAGAGACAAACCAAAAAAAATAGCAAAGCTAAATATAGCAAGGAATTGTTACTTGATTTACAAAATATGAAGTATTAAAACCAACAAAGCCAAAAGTAAGCAAAAGCGTACTTGGAATATTAACAAACTTTAATTTTTTTTTTTCAAACTCAAAGTATTTCATTGAGTCCTAGCTTCATTCATTTAGATATTTTAAAATTCCATATGTTTCAACCATAAGTTCCATCTAATTATGTCCTTGAGTGACCTGCAAAGTCATCCATAGGAGTTCCTCTGGAAATAGAGAAAGAAATGCTAATATAATTTGATAATGATTATTCGAAATTGTCTATGTTGGCTAGAAATATCTGAAAGAGGACTTTCTAAAACCCTCAAATCCCTGAACAGATAATAATTAAAGAAAAATCAGTGCCACCTCATTTAATAGCAGGGCATTCTATACATATTTCTCGTCTCATGACATTTCATGTCCACATTGTCTTTTATGTGACAAATATATCCAAAACGACAACTTAGATGTTCTTAGGCCTTGTATTCTAAGCCTTTTCAACAAATTAAGAACGTGTATCACACTTACTATTTACCTCTTTTAATCTCTCTTTTTCACAGTTGCATAAGAAAGTTCCAAAGAGACAACTATAAAGGTGATCCAGAATAGTGATCAAGAATAACTCATTGAATTCAAAGGCTGCGGGAAACTGAAACAAAAAATTGGTAAAATTACTTTAAACTTTATTTTAAGTAGTGTAGAAAGGAAGAAACTCAGACATAAGAAATAACCAAAAGATTCACATAAGATTTTTTTTCTTATTTAGTGATTATTTTCAGCAAAACTCAGCAATTTCAGTAACTCCCATTGCAATAATACATTTCACCTACATACTTCTTTATAAATACTCCTCAGAGACAACCCTTACATCCATTATGCAAGTACATTGGAATGCAAACATAGAAACGTTAGCTAATGTCAAATTGGTGAGACAAAGCAATCCATTTCAAGGACCTCTAACAGTATTGTGTTCTAACCCACCTCAAACCATCTTCAACATATGCTTTATTTCTCTTGTTACGGGACAATAAATCATTTGGGGGGAAAGGAAGATTATGACATTTAAGAGTTTTATTTCCTATGTAATAAATTGGATAATAAAGACTAGTGCATGTAAATGTGCTTAACGTATATTTAAAATGTTTCTTTGACTTTCTATCCAAGTAAGTTACTTTTCTCCATTTCACCCCTTGAGTTTACCACCAGCCTTTAATCCCGCTTCTTTTACATTGGAAAGTAAATCCTGTACATCTGAAATGAAAGAACTGTTATTCCACTGAGCACCACTAGGTATTTTATTCACAAGTAGAGGTTACCTGATACATTCTAGGAATAAGAGTTAGAAATTTGAAAACACTCAAAATGTTTAAGATGTATCTTAATCTGTAGTGCTCTAAAACCATAAAGGAAGAAATCAATGCAAACTGCATGGGCTGCTACCTATTCAGATGGAAAAGGTCCTTCTTCAATCAAATTTTATGATAAGACTACATATGGCACTGCTTGATGTGTCAAAATAACTTTGCAATCAGTATGACAAAGGTCTCAAACACAGATATGGAATGGTAAACATTTAGGAGAAAAAAAAAATTAGAAGACTGAAGGAAAATTTAAGAAGTAGCATTTATCTCATTACCATGAAAGAGATGTTATAAAAGACTGATTTTCAGGACAAATGAAACAAACTTTGTTCATTCCCACTTAAGGAGTAAATCTTTACAGAAAGCCAAAATGCAAAGTTACAGATCCATAAGGAAGAATTTCCTGGTGTATGGAGAAATCTCAAGTCAACATTTCAGATCTGAAGAATGCAGCGGCTTCTGGTTTCTGTTATGTGCCACTGAAGAATACTGAACACCTTGGCACAAGTGACTCAAGAGCTACTTTACATAAATAAATAAAAAAAAGACGACAAGTACAGCCAGGAGGAATAACACAGCAATTGGGACTGCGGATGAACTAGCTGATCCAGAAATTCTTCTTCAGTGTCATCTGTGATTTATGAAGGGCAAATGTTTATTCAGGTTGAAAGTAAAGAGTTGAATAACACACAATGGGTGTGCTGGTACTAAACCCAGAAAGATCTAAGTTTTAAGCAATGTTCTTTTAAAAGACGATTAAGTCAAACATTGCAAAAACATTCTCTTTGCAAGACTTTTCAAGCTAAGATACTCCAACTTTCAACTGCAAATTTTGAATAAGGAAATTACCAGTATCGTGGCTCACAGAATGAAAAGGAGCCTTTCTTCTTCTGACTCTGCTACGACAGCATGACGTGTTCACACTGGGGCTTCCCTCTCAAATCACTGGTTTGTTCTCAATCATCTAGCCATTCGTTTTCATAAAACATATAGGAACTTAAGATTATCGAATCTCTTTTTCAGTCACGTTCAAAAGTTATCACTTACAGCACTTCCTTCTCTCTAGGAAATCATGACAAAACTCAATTACAATACAATGATGTTAACAACACAGCTATGATTTTAAAAAAGTATGAATGGAACTTGACAAGCAGGCGTGCTGAACCAAGTCAGGAGAAAATTCAGTGGCTCTCAGACCTCAGTCTCCTGTGTCCAGCCCAAAGCAGCAATCAGATACAGAGAGCAAAAATAATTTACAAAGGATCAAAACGATATTTGGAAATAACTTTGAAGACAAAGCCCCTCCTAAAGGGACTCTCTTTAACTGAAAGCACTTAATGAGCCTTGTCACATTAGGGTTCTGTGTTGTGACGGGTCCATACTAATCAGATGGATGCTGACATGGCTGCTATTCCAATCCAGTGAAGCATATTCAAAATTCCATACATCAGTGGTTGCACTCCAACTAATTTATTAATAAGTGATAGCGCTTTATTGAAACCCTGTCTTTGGATACAAGAGTTGTACTGTTAGAGCTGATGTATCAAGACTGTAAAGCTTCTATTACGGCTGCTGAAAAATCACTGACCTAAAAATGCTTTCCTCTGTAGTTCCAAGCCCATTAGCGTCTGTTTGAAGATTTAGGTGGAAAAATTCCCCAAATGAAAATTTACTTCATGTCAAACCCACTAATTGTGAGAGGACACATGGGTCATTAAAATCTCCTACTTGATGCTGCTGGAGTTGTTGGGGATTTTTGTAAAGGAGGTATTTAAAAGAAGAATTCTCTTGTTTAAAAGTCTGACGATGCCAAGTGGCATCTGATTCAGATGCAAAATAAACTTGCTTTTTAATCAAGGAACTCGTTCTGTACTACAGTAACATTTAAAGTTGATACACTTTGTGTAACAGTTTTATGATTGTGGAAATGGACTGAATCAGGGAAAGTGAACAGGAGATATCATAACAGAGTACACTACTGAAACTATTGAAAAACACATCTCTGGCAACAGATGACATCTGGTAGGAAACAGGATGCAACTTTCTACCAGCTTTAAACATACCTTCCTCTTCTGTGGGTACTGTGCACGAAAGGCAGAAAGCTACTATTTGAGCTGCAATGCTGCATGCAAATTTTAGTTTTGTTTCATTTTTAACAGGGCATCAGTATTTCATCAGATCACATGCGGCCTTTCCAATTTCGCATCTGCTATTCAAAATCACCAAAATTTACCAACAGAGGAGGGAAATCGCTTCACCATATGTCTTTTATTAAAATCTGGTATCAATGTACTTCTCTCAAGTTCTCTTTTACTGCAGGAAGACCATAAAAAACCAAGGGAAAATACAAGGCTGTCAAGGGTTAAGTTTGATTGTCTGAAGCTATCTGGAAATTTGTATCTTAGTGGGAAGTTAGAGATTCTCTCACTGTATTAAGCTTTTAAGAACGTAATTCTCAGAACCCAAAAGAGAAAATTTGCTTGCTTTGAGCCCATGCCCAAACCCGAGCCCTGACACCCTCCCGCAGTCATTAACACTTATTTGAGCTTTGGAACATTTCACATATGTTTACCATGGATTCTAAAGCACGAAACTAGCACTGTTTTACGAGCAAGTGATCTACACAAGGATAAAACGGAATCCTGGTTTTCATAGGGCCACGTGAAGGTAATCACAGTCCTCAAACCTATTTTCTAGGTGTTGCAGTCAACTAAAAAATAAGAGGGCAAGAACCCTCCAAGAATGACATTTTCAACTTTTTTTCCTGCTGCAACATTAATGATTTTTCAATGCCACTGCTGTTCGTGAATTTCAGAACAGTTTCTGGATCCAGGTTTTGAACAGATGTGGTATTGGCAAAATGTTTCACAGTTTCCCCCCAGCCCCTCGTCCCTTTTTTTTTTTAAACTAGAGGGAACTAAACTGTTTATAGCAAGAAATAGGAGGCAGCAAGGGAGATCACAAAAATAGAAGAGGCTGCTCTCAATTAAGGATCTCCCCAGAGGACTTTTGTTCCTACCAGGTGTTTAGAACTGCTTCTCTTTGCTATTGTTATTAGCTTTCCTCTGAGAGAGGGGCAGAATTTTTCATTTATTTTCTCCTGCCATACTAAACAGCACATTAATGCTGAAATATAGATACACAGAAAGAGAAAGTCTTCAAGGGACTCTGGACAAGGGCCCAGTATTACAGCAGGGAACTTTCATATAGCACTGAAGACAACTGTTTTGAATACAAGTTTTGGAAACTATGATGTAAGTTTTTAAGAACCATGTTCACAACAAGAAGACTAAGGTAAGAGATCTGGGAGTGCTAGCCTCATGTGGAACCAGACTGTTACCCTCCTCTCTTCAAAACAAATCACATACTATACAGACTTCAGTACAACAGCTTTTACTGTAAAAGCACAAATCTGTGTTAGGCTTCAAGGAGGAAAAAAAAAGAGAGAAAAAAAAATAAAAGAAGGAGCCAAGCACTTCTAATTTACTTGGAAATAAAGCCTTCATGTGGACCACCTATTTCAGTAACGCCACTGAAGAACAGCAATATAAAAGCTCAGAAAAATCTTAAGTTTATGTTCATGGAGGGACAAATAAGGAAAATGAAGGTTAAAGCCATCCTATTATTTAACACATTCAGAGAAAAAAAAAGAGATAATTTTAATATTTTGATATCTTAAATATCACTGATTTCAAAGATCTCCCCTGATCCAGATGTAAAAGCAGTGCTGGAAGTAAGAAAATTTATCTGAGAATAGGCTTTTATGTTAGAAATGCTGTCCTGTATGCATAACGATGTCAGCATTAGCTTGCATTTCACATTTGAGACACATATAGAAGAACCCACTCCTCCCCTCTGTTCACAATCAGCCTGGATTTTTGCCGTTTCTTAAGGACAATATAAATCCATACGAAGATTTACTCCACCAGAGAATATGCAATGCAAATAATTTATCTTATCAATAACCCTCATTTATTTAATCCTTTGAAAAGCCTGTTTTAAACAAAAAGTATTTTGGTTGCAAGTCAACACTTCTACTCTAGTTCCCTGTACTTCACTTTGAGCAAAAAGTTTCCCTGTGTGTGCATGGTGCAGACATAGCCCGACCAACCTCAGGAAAACATGCTCTGCAAGGGAATGTGTTCTCCTATACGAATTATGTTTCCAAGATAAAGAATGAGACCTCATAGAAATATACTCATAAGCATCTTACCTGCTTTGTCATTTGCCAAACGCAGTCAATGAACTGAAGGAAAATGGGAGATCTGTCTGCATCAGCATGATCATCATCTCCGTGTCCTACTCGCTGAAAGTCAAAACAAACTTTTCATTTCAGTCTAATGTATTTACAGTACCATCTCAACACTTTAAACCTGAGTAACTCTTAAATATGTTCCAGTGGTAGACAAGACAAGCAAATCTTCCATAATGCTAACCTGTATTTTTCAACTACTAAAAATGCATCCCAATATTCACCTATGGACATGCCTTTGCTGTTGACCAGAGCTGGAAAGACACTTGGTCAACAAAACTGTGCCAGTTGTTTCCCCATCTTTCAGTGCACAGCCATTCATTTCTACCAGTGGGTCAAACTGGTACGTATTTGCTAAGACTCCACTGAAACAACGATTATTTCATACGCACCTGCCATAATTACATGTCATTTCTCCTAAGCCATCTTGAGTCAGAGCCCACAAAATGTCATAATAATTTATGTCCTAATTCCCCACTAGCCCATGTGTTAAATAAACACTTCAACCTTAAATCAGAGTAATGGCTCCAGCAATTTTACCTTCTAGACACGTTAATTGTTTTCCTTGTTTTTCCATTCATAAGATTGTTAAAGATGAAGCAATATGTTACAATCCCTCTTCCTCAGAAAAAAGTCATGTGATTTTTTTTAACCATTATGTTCAAGCCACTTAATTCTTATTTATTTTATATTATACCTCACACACAGATTTCCTGTTAAAAATGAACAGGTCACAATTCTCTGACACACACTGTTAAAAGAAGGACACCAGAGAAAATAACTAAAATGCAGCAGAGTACTGTGAGAAAAAATGCTATCCAAAATAAAAGTCTTGAAGGTGACAAGCCGTACACTAAATCTTTCAGCTTACCATTGCAAATCGGTGTCCAAAACTTATCCATTCTTTCTCTATAAGAACTTCAAACCCCTTGATAGTTCTGTAATAGCTGTCCAGCATAAGCATAGCTAACGCAGTGAGCTGTGCAGTTCGATCCCAACCATCACTGCAATGAACCACTACAGATGTTTTACCAGATTCAATTTTATCCGCAATTCTTACTGCTCCGGCAAGAAGCATCTTAAATAAACAAAAATAAATAAACAAGCATATTAAATACTACCCAAAATTCTACCAAAAAAAAAAAGTTATAATTTTATACTCTTAAGGTTAATATATTTTAAATTTTCAGATTAATTACATAATCATCTGGACAGTGTTGCTTTAAATTAGAGACTTCCAAATGGTGGTATGCATACTCCTAGAGGTACAAAAACTTTGTGCACTCTGTTGTCCAGGACAGAGTTCTTACCAGCTCTCTATTATTAGTAGCAGGTAGCAAAAGAACTGGGAATCCCTCCTCTAAATTAAACCCGAAATTCTGTATCATGATGAAAAGACACAAATACTGTAACCTACTCCAAAGGCCGAAGGTTCTATGTCTTCAAAGTTCATTTTAACAGTAATCAATCAGCCTTTGTTCCTCAGCTTTTAGTTCTCAACTACTAAGTTTAGAGAAAGGGACAAACTATCCAGCTAATCTAAATCAAAACACAACCCCCCAAAACCCAGGATTTGTTGGTGCATGACGTATGCATTGTGTTCAACCCATGAGCAGACCTTTAATAGCATGAATTCAGAAGCATGCTGGAGAGCAAAGGATAGAGATGGTACAGGACTAAGATCACCTGTGTGAACTTGTTACTCTTCTCCCCCACAAAAACCCCTCTCTTGTTCTCTTACACCGCTCTGTAGTTTTTTAAAAACTTGAATAATCTCTCTACTGTGAAGATTTGTCTCTGTAACATGACCTATCATGGCACTGAAAAATATGTGAAAAAAACCAACCACTAGAATAGAACCACAGATGAAATTCCTATTCTGCATTCCAACATCAGAAAATGGAATCTTGCAAAACAGTTGCATTTTTCCCTTCCCAGGCATGTAAAAACATCTTCTGGGAAGTAGGAAAGCCAGCATCCACTGGAGAAGCTGTGCACAAGACCAGTCTTCAAAGCTATTTCAAGAATCACGCGTTAGAGACAATTTTCATTGATTATATCTTTCACTGACCATATCTTTTATGGTAAAACTGAAGGATGACAGGGTGCAAATATCAGGAAACAACACAAAAGCTTCTATGGGAGAATAGAGCTTCTGGTCTCAACTAGTTAATTGCTAATTACTTCTGTTACAAAGCTCTACTGCACTAAGAAAGTGCAAATATTAAAACAGTTTGGTCTTCAATAAGAGAAAACTAATCTATATAATGTACAGGTATGCAATAGATTGCTCTAAACTGTCCTAAAGAGAACACAGATGGCTCTGAAGGAGTACAGCTGAAATTAAAAGGACAGAACAGATACAGGCAATAAGCAGAGAATGGGAGACAGAAAATAGAGTTACTATTAATTCAGCAAGTATCTGTGGAGTAGGTGAAGCATTTTATTCTACTTCAGACAAAAACCTTTAGAAAACAGCTACCTCCACAAACTATTATTATTGTTTATAGATGTTTCAAAACTTAGTAACCATCACAGTACTTGAGTTGGGGTTCCTCATGAATAACTGGCTTTGGATTGGTTTAGAAAATGAGAATTGGTGTAAAAATAATGAATAGCACAAGTTCTACCCTGAAAGACAGAAAATACCCTGGAGGGGATAAGGAAACATCCTGGCTGTGCAAAAAGCAACAAGTGACTCTACTCCTGTTGTTACCACTGTCTTCACACAGACAGAACGTTACTGGCACTCCTGGACCATCTTCAAAGTGCCGTGGGTGCCCAGTGCTAGAAAGGTGAACTTCCAGTAATGCACCGCATTACACTGGGACATGATCACACTGGTCTGAACCCAGAAAACAGAAGATGTATTAGCGTAAAGCTGTGGATTTGTTAATTGCTATTACAAGCCAAATCAAACAGGCAAGGAAGGCAAGCAATTCTTGAATAAAAGCACAGGGACATACTATCAACACTTAACACAGTAATAGCAGCTTTTAAGAAATCAGGCTGCAGCTTGTGCTGTCAATATCGTAATGTGAAGTATCACGTAAGGGACAGATTCATGAAGAATGTTACCTGTGTGTCAACTCTTTAAAATAATTTACACGAAATTTCAAATTGCTGTGCTATTGTCATCTGTGCAACAGTGGTATCAAGATCCACTTCTGACACTGCCTAAGCCCAGGAACCCCACTTAAGTCAACCTCCATCAAAGGTGAGCACTGGTCCAAAGACTTTTTAAAGGTCCACTTTTAAAAACAGACTATTTTTATTAAGGCCAGGCTAATAAGAAAAGGTTTCCAGATACGCAGATTCCAAAAGCTGTTTGAAATAGTGCAACTTCAAGAGAACAAGAAAATTAAACTGTTCCCAAAAGATCATTAAATTTGTTTAATTCTTAATTTAAGTGTTTGCTCCCTCTACTGGTTCTCCTGCAGCATTTAGCAAACTCCAGTTAATAGGAGAGTAAAACTAATGAACAATCCCAAACGTGTTTTGCATGAATGACATTTGAGCCAGTTGCTAATAAAACAAATTCCACTCCATCCATATTCATCATAAACAGTGGAGTGAATGTGGTAATGAAATAATCTATTCAAAAAGCATTTCAGAGGTTAGTGAAACAGACTGTAAAACCGAGTATGGTAGTGATTTATTTTAATATTATGTTAAATAATGGAGCAGATTATAACCCAATAGAGCACTGGCTATAAACAGCCCATGAAAATGTAGGTGCCCGACACATGAACACCGACATTGCATTGAAGGAGGGAAGGATGAGAAAGACTGCAGAATTTACAGTCAAGTCCTTTTGGCAGTTGTTCAAATACAATCTGAAGTTCCCAGGGCATTCTTCCAAAAAGCAGGGATAACCCTGGACTGCTCACAAACATTCCCTCTCAAGAAAGTAAAATGCTGTCCAACGCTCACTACGATACTGTGCTATCAGGAATTAACTCATTACCTACCAATACATAAAACTGGAAATACAAAGTTATTATGGAATGCTTAAAGAGCTTTTTTACAAAATTATCCTGATCAAAACAACATGCTTAAATCTAGACATTATTTTAATAATATTTTCAGAAATGCAAGTTAAAAAAGTGGCTTAAAAAATCAATTGATTATTCTCATCAAAAGTATTTTACCCTTATATATTCCAGCCAATGTGTGGAGTCCACATTTGATAACCACCGAGTCTCATCAATCGTAGGATAAACTATTTCCTTAAGTTTACGCAGGGATTCTCTCATTACGTGTATATTATGAATTTCCAGAAAGACCAGCTCTGCATTTGGGTAGGCACTTTCACTTTCATATCCTCCACCTTTTGCCTGTCATTCAAAAAGTAAAAACAGACGAAGAAAGAACATGTACAGGACTTCAGTATAAGGTCAAGAGAGTTATTTTGGTCAGGTTTCAGGATATTCTGAGAGAAAAGGGTTATTTTAGCACTAATAAAAACATATTTTTGGCTTTTGCTTTTCTAGGAAGCACTAGGGTATTTTTTTTATGTGAAAGAAATTCTAATTGTAATAGGCTATGTTTGACAATATATCCATATACCTTCCCCATCTTACTACTGAAACCTTTGGTCTTGTGTGGGCTTTACTGCATCATTTCTGGCCTTTCCAAAACGCTACAAGCAACTTACCTTCCTTACCATGCCCTCTTTAGAGAACCTTTCTTATCTCTTTTCAACATCAAGTTCTCCTCATCCTCATCTCTTACTCAATCTTCAGCCTTGTAATAAAGGTAGAACTACTAACGCTAGTTATGATACCAACCTACCTTGTTTGTATCTGCAACGCTATTCTGTCTGGCATCAAAGATGATCAGTTTATGCGACTGAGCATTGGCATCCATTATTGTCTGCAAATATTTTTCATCTTCTTTGCAACGCTTATCATTTGGGCCTACCGATGGCTGACTGCATCTTGTTATTGTTGCTTGGCTCTCAGGATGAATCCAGGACAACACCTGGAATAAAAGCAAATTATTTTAGTTTACTACACTACTATAAAAGCAGCAGACCAGAGTGCAATTAGGTAAACACACTGCCCACACGACATTATTTCCTGGCAAATCAACAAATACAAATTTAAGTACAAGCTGATGCAAAACCATATCGACAGCACACTAGCACTGCTCATCCCAAATCTGAGCTTGAAATACGAAGTGATTCTAAACATCTTAGCTTTTATTTCTGATAAAAACTATGCCTGCTACTGCATCGTACTAATTAGAAAACAAAAAGAACAATGGAGGAAGAAAAACTGCTTCCATATGGAAGTCTATGGACCTGTACACTACCTTGCTGAGCAGATCTAAAGCATGAAAACTGTCACCATATTTAAAGGGATTCTTATACTACCTGAAAAATTAGTCTGTTCTCAAGAAAATCGCTATGGCTTTAACACATTCCACATCAAATCAGAACATAAGCTAATATGTAAATTAGCATCAGATAAAGTATTAACTCCAAACAAAAATTTAGTACGTGGCACAATAACCAAGCAAATAGACTCACATTTGTGTTGCTCTCCTCAGTGCTAAACCCCTCAAGCCTAATTCTTCTTTTTTTTGCTCCCCCTTTTGAGGAAGGAAGGTGGCCCACTGTTATTTAAAAAAAAAAGCCTAAAAGAACTCTGGTAATTTCTTGTAAGCTGCAGATTTATAGAGCACTTTTACCTCATTGTAAAAGTTTCACTTACTGGAACTCTGCCTTTTGCTCTAAATGCTGCCACTTTTGAGAGGTCATCATCCTTTACACTGGTTGGCACAACAAGAATAGCAGGATATGTATCACAAAGCTCATAGGTGCTGTTAATTTTGGATATTTTCCAACTCTCATTGGGCAAGCCCTGTGTGAAAGCAAAACATTTTTATATTTTTCAGGTTAGAAATTTACATATCTGTTTGGGGCGACAAAAATTTTTATATGCTACGTACTTTTTTGAGAAAAGTGTGCCCACATTTTTCTTTTACATAAGCTATAAACTTTAGGTCTTCATATTGAACCATAAACCAAACCACTGAAAGTCTTTCCTATTTATTACCTTCAAAAATGATAACCATTTGAATAGGCTGCACACTCAGGTAAAAAGTGATCATATAGTGAAATAAAAATACTTTTGCAACTAGGAAACTGTATATTTACAATGACAAACCACAGTTACTCTTCTGTTAAAGGCTGCTTATTCAAATCCAATTTTTTATAAAGCCTGTATTTTCTAGAAACAGCACTTGGAAAATGTGGATTTAAAAATGCATGTTAAGATAGACCAATTTGCTCAAGTACTCAGCACCTGTTATCTCTATCAACTTTAGCAAGCACTCAGCACTCAGTGTCAGGCTTTTTTTTATCTAAATACGAGATCTAGACAGTGTCTGTATGTAGCTAGAGCTAAAAATTTTGAGTTTTCTTTAATATATTTTTCTTGTTTAAATGGCTGTGGGGGAGATAGAGAAAAAAATAATACACCAAGTACTTATATAACTTACCTGCCTCTTATATTCAGCCATTGGATCATACACTTTCCAGCCATTAACAGCAAACTTTTCTTTATAGCTGAATGCAAAAAGAGGCTAAAGAAAACAAAGCAAAGGCATAAATTACCATCTGATGGGCTGTATGCACAATAATCTCCAAAACTGCGAACCTTGTAATATTTCAGATGTAACACTTCTAAACTCTTTAACAGCAGACATAAAACCTCCAGTCAAGACTGGACAACACTGTGCTAGAAAGAAAATGAAAGACAGTTTCCTCCTTCAAGGACATGCTATATAATTAAAAAAATCAAGATAGGAAACAGCCAGAGAGAGTCGAAGTTACTTGCTTGTGATCATACAACACATCAAAGGCAGTGAGGATAGAACATTGGTGTCCTACCTCCCAACCAGTTCCTTACCTGTCCAAGCAAATCAAATAGCATTCTGCACCTAACTAGTAGAAAGACTAGTTGTACCTATTTGTCGTTTTAGACAGAACTTCTAGACTGAATTATCTACCGCAGAAAATAAGAGTCAATACATACATATTTTTAATCAGTAACATTAGGCAAATCCAGATCTCAAGGGTTATGTACAAATTAACTAACTTCACTGATAGCAGGACAGAGTATAATGTTTTATGAATTAATGCAAGAAGGTAACAGGGTCAGAGTAGTTTGCATGCTCTGTAACAGGTTCTATGAATCTGCATTTCAATGTCTGTTATACAGCCCTTGTACGTCCCTGACTACACTTTCCGAAAAGAGAAGACCTGGTGACAGCCTTCTCTACATCTTACGACTTACCAGCCCATTAGAAACGGGAAATGCGCGTGTTACAAGGTTTTCAAAAATCTCCAATCTGTTTTGCTCTTCCTGTTTATAGGCCAGCCGCAAGTTTCTCATATCCTGTCAAAAATAAGTCACACTATTTTACTCTATGACAAATTAAAAAAAAAAAAAAAAGCAGTTACACAAAATTTGATTGAAGGAAGGCATATATGTAACGCTAAGTCACTGACACAGTCTAACCCACATTAGAACAGAGTTCTGTAAGTGTTCATATCAGATGACTAGGATCTTCATCAGAGTTGCTAGACATCATAAAAATAGTCATTTTTCCTTTGAATTCACTCTTGGGACCAAAGACAGAAGCGTTCAACATTGCAAGTATCATAAGAGGAATTGAAATACATTATCTAAATGAAGCAGGGTTCAAATATGGGGAACTGATGAGACAAAAAAACAGCACATCTGCAGCACGCAGATTCCTCTTACAGGAAAATGAAATGAAAGTACTTTAATACGAATAAATCTCTACCATGCCATACCTTGCAAACTATTTCTATACCACATGAGTTGTCTCCGTGGCTCTGTACTCCAATTTTTTCAACTCTACTTATGACTCCAAGGGGAACATCAACAACAAAAGGTGGATCCTGAAATTTGTATATAAGACAAATGAACTTTGTTACATTAGGAGGAACACAAACTAATATTATTCATGTATGTTTCACTAGTCAGCTATAATTCCTGTTCAATAGATTGCTGTGGAACATGACACTTCACTTACACCAAATTTGTCACTTTCTGAAATCTGCTTCAGCAACATTCCTACCTGAAACAGTATGCAGATAGATAGCAAAGTCTTACCCTCTCAACACTTTTGATATACATTCTGAAGTCCGTCACTGTTAGCGTACCACTGACTGCTCCCATAAATGGACAGATATACATAACATCTTTAGCTGGAAAACAGACCAATTAAAGCTTTGGTTTACTATTATAGACATTAGTTCCATAAAAATCTATTTCCATTTAAAAATAGCAAGGTTTTTGCAGTTCCGTAAGATTTTGATGCTTGACCTCTATAGGAAAGCCTACTCTTCAGATGCTGTCAGGACTGAAAGAGCTATCTTTATGTCAACAATGAAACCAACCACATTTCTCAGTCCCACTGCTGCCCAGCAATTACTGAGCAACCGGGCTGGGCTCAGCTAGCATGTGCTGCAGTAAGGGCCGGCAGGTAACCAAGCACCCTGCTGCTACTCTCAGCTGCAGGCGGCGCTGGTCCCTGCCCCGAGGTGTAACGCACCTACGCTCACCTCAGGGAGAGAGCATCCAAATGGGCAATTACTGATGTGTACGCAACTGACCTCCAACTAACTCAGTTACATGCCCACATCTTCATTTTCACTTTTCTTTGAAAGAGCTAGTATTCTTTTCTAGCCAAGTACTGTACTGCTAACGCAGAGCTTGTTGTCCCAGGCCAAAGTGAAATAAATCTCATTAAGCACTGGAAACTAAGTTTTCCATAACTTCACCTTCTTTGCTATCACAATTTTTAAGCTTTTGAGTCTATGAAGTATCCGTAGCATCCCCAAGCAGAAATACAACCCACACACCTATATGGAACAAACTAGTTCTTAAAAAAAAGATTTATCTATATGGAGCAAGCCATCCTCTGGAACTGATTTCTCCTTCCTACATTTGGATTTAAAAGACAAGAAAAGAAATCCACATCAAATTAGCTAATCTAAATTGGCATTAAATTAAAATAAGAAAAGTCAAAAGGGAATAATATTATGTTTTTAAATAAATAAACTAGTGATTTAATAGTATTCAGTACTCAATAGTATGCTTACCAATAACTTTGATTGATTCTCCAGGAAAAAGTGGAGCCTCTTCCATCTGTGCTAGTTTGTTTCCATCCCGCAGTGCCTGGCAGAAATCCAAAACCATGAGTAAATCTCACTTTCCATCTGTACTACATCGATACATTTTGATGCAAAGTGCTTTTACTACCAGATTACTGGAACACAAGAAGTGTATCTTTTTTTACAAGGCACAACTGTATTCAACAGTACCATATTAAAAAAAAAAACCAAACACAAAACTCGGTATTATAAATATTACACAGACATACATGTTAGTTAACATATTAGTAATAAAGCATTTATGCAACAATTAGTTTCACATGCTAGCTACATATAGCATACAAAAATATGAACAATAAGATCAGCCAAAATTTGTAATTAATAATTTGTTAGTCTTTTCCTAAATGCAGGTGTGATTTTGAGTATTTTATCTACTTGAGAACATTTTAGAGCTCTTATTAATTTTTTTTCTATTCTTAATGTTGTTTATTCAGTATTTGAGTATTTTCATCTGAGAGAATTATATGGCAGATGCTTTATTTATTTAATATTTTAACGTTGTATTTTTGATAGCAAGAAGTCAGAAGCACCCCACGATGCTGTATTTCAATCAATACCCTACTGAGAGTGCCACAGGTTATGGAAGAGGTCCATTACAGGAATTTCGGATCCAGAAAGTCAGATTAAGAAAGAAGTAATAATGAAACATAGAAGAACAAATAGCAATTTTAAAATAAGGGCTAGTTCCATAAATTTTCATTTAGGTAAATGGCTTCATTCCTGAATGATACAAGATTGATCCTTTGGGTCCTTTGTTGGCAGCTAAGATTTACAACATACAAAAGATTTTAATTAAGAATAAAAGGGTTTGTGGGACTTCTAAGGACCATGCGAGAAAGTGATCTCTCTCAGATCAACATGATGGGATATTAAGGTTTCAATTTTTTACATCCTGAAGTTAGAATAAATATAATGAGCTATGTTACAGTAAACAACTCTTCCCGTGTATTACAGCTCTGATCCACATACAACTAATTGGTAGATCCATCTGCCTCCAAACAAACTACCCCAAGCCCTCATTCATAAAAAACTTCTAAAAATATTTAAATTGATCTCTGGCTTTAGATTTTCTTGGGAACTAACATAATTTTATATTCAGCATCAAATTGCCAAAGAAGATGCTGTGTAGAGAATTAGCCAATACTTACAAACTTAGAAGGATGGATGGATGTGCTCTGTCGGACAGGGGCTTACGGGCAGTATTACATTCTAGATTACACGACATTACACGCAAACCCTACCTAGCACATAACCAGTTACCACACTAAATGCTTTCTATGGATTCTCTTGCATGAGAAATGTAAGATTGCTATGTACTGTACAAGTACTAATATATAGTACCTTGCTACACAGTTAACAAATGAAAGATGAGTAAAACTTGCCACCTGATCAGGTTCTGCTTCAGAATGATAGCCATTGTGTCCATCCTGAATCTCCTGCATTGCATGAGGCAGCAGTAGGGCAAGAGAGAAGTAACAGGAAAAAACATGCAGACAACAGGTGAAAGGACAGAATCTTTTCTTTTTTGCTTGCCTTTTTTTTTTTCTTTCCTTAAAAAGACAGCATATACTTTAACTCCAGTTTAGCTATCCAAAATCTCCGACTCCTGGCACAAACTACTTTCAACAGAAAGGAATCCGAGCTATTACCACGATCCTTTTAATGTTATTTGGCACAACACTAAATGAAAAATTTACTCCGTTTTTCACAAAAGAGTCAGTGCTGGTAGATAAGAACATAAAAGTATGCACTGTCTTTTTAAGACAAACAATCTTATAGTGAAGAAAATTAATTCATAGTATGCCACATGCTTATCAATAGAAGAAACTGAGTACAGCTTGCAATGGTAGCATTAGGGGAAAACCCATGCAATCTTTCAAGGAAAAAATAGGTTGACATCAAATAGAAGTATCTAGACAATTTAAAAAATGCTTTACTGTGTAAATCATGTTTTAATTGAACGTTCAGTTTTATGGTTTCACATATTTTTCCGACAACTTCTGTGTTGTTGCTGGAAACCTAGTCAGTAACTTTACAGAACCTAAATTAGTCCTCATAGCATAATATGCAAACAATTCACATTTTTATGTTAATTTATTTTTGCATCATATTGGCAGCAAATCCTGAATATTAATTAAATCTCTTTAATAAGCATAAGGTCCCTCTGCGCTCCAGAGAGAAGCACAAATGTCATAGGGGCATATGAAGTAATTGTTTTAATACGTTCAGCCAAATTTGTTCTCCCATCTTCTTTATTAACTGGAGAGAAGTTCTGTTCATGATAGTCTATTATTCCCACTTCACACGCAAAGAACTTCTCACTTGATAGACCGTAAAACCAGACTCAGTCTAAATTTACAAATGTTTGTTAAAGTCAATTTTTCTTTTTACAGTATTTCTACAGAACCCTCAAAAAAGAAAAACTTAGAAGGACTTCAGATATCTTCAGATAATTTGAACTCGACAGAGTTTAAGAAGTTATAATTAATTAAAAAACCCTTTCAAATTATAAAGGACTCCTAACATTCATGTATGGGTGGAATTCTGTTAAATAGAAATTACTTGAATTTCAGACCATAAAAATGTTGTTTCTGAAATTAAAGCAAAGTGGATATTGTGATATCTAGAAGAAAACGAGAAGGACAACCAGCAAATACACCAAAAGATTTTAAATAACTGAAAGAGAGAGAAGCACAACAGATCATTCAAAGATCAAAGCCTTTACAAAGAACTATGAAAAACTGAACAAAACCAATCAATTTTTGTTACTCAACCCAGACCAATTATTTCAAGAGCTATCTATTTAAAAAAAAAAGATCAACTTGTGGATTTGTATGATTGGACTAAACACATAATTTTCAAATATGTAAACAACGGATGAGAAAAAGAAATCATTCAGACTTCATCTCTTGGTTTGAGACTGAACAAGAGGTCTTTGTTTGAATAAAAGTGTTGGACACATTTCATGAACAATGTCAGAACACTATCCAGATCATTTCTCACTCCATAAATGTTACTAAGAGAGAGGGACAAGAAAACAAGGCATGCTCTTTTTATATCTCCAATGAACAATTGGCAAGGCTAGTCTCAAAATTATCATTAAAAAGATGCAGGTCATTGCACTAGTGTCTAACTTCAAACCAAACTTTCAACCCTGCTACAGGGTGGTAACAATTAAGGTAAAACATGTACAAAGGCAAACATGAATCGGTACCTTATTTAAATAGCACAGACAAAGACGTAACGCTTTTACCACTAATATTCTTTAGCATAGATAACACATTAGAGCTGCTAATACGGTAGTCTGTAGTCTGAAGCATGTAAGCCTCAGTTGCAAGCATCCATTTTGTCAAAATTAATGTAATAAAACTGAAGTTAGTATTGCACATTCATAACATAATTTAAAAATACTGCTCTCTTACACATTGACTTTTATTGCTCGTGAAAACATTGTAATGTATATAAAGCATTTCTATGGCAAAAAAGCTGTTGCACTGCATAGCAAAATGGTCTGACTGGTCCATAAAAACCATTAATGAAGTAAAGAAGAACGTTTGACACACCAAGATCTCACACAGCACAAAAGACAAACAGGTAGGAGGCCGTTTTACTGCTAGCCAAAGGTAATCTTACCCGTATAACAGGCCTCCTGTACACCTGTTAGTTAAAATATAAAATGTTATCCAATGAAACAGAGAGATTTGATTTCTTAAAGATATTATATCTTACTTCATCAGATTTTCAGAAAAACTCTACTTCCAAACACTTTGATTATAGCTAGATTTTGAAAGAACAAAACAAAACTATGCAGACCTAGTAGCTCTCATTTGCAGAATTGTTTTTGGTCTAAAAACAATCTAGCCACTTCATTTTAGCGATGAAACAAATGCCAAGCTCTTTTGAAACATTCATTCCTAATCACCCTTTCATCCAGTTACAATGTGCTATTGTGAAAAGAGAAGAAAGAGCCTGGTAATCCTTCTAGGTGGAAGACAATAAGCCTGCAATAACAGCCACAAAGTATAACCACCATATCTTCTAGATTCAAATGGCAAAACAAGGATAGTGACAACTCAACTTATTTCTGAAGGTCTCTCTATTCAGCTACTATAATCTAAGCAGTTTTCATTTATACGAACCCTCATTCAAGAATACTCTCCAGGCACAGAGTATGTCAGAGAAGACATACACAGCAGAGTTCAAACCTCGAGTGAGATCATGTTGCTGCAGGGTTTAGCAAGCAAGAGCTCGCTCAGTGCTCTCCAGTTTTGATGATTTCACTTGCAGCTCCTTTGCTTCCCTTTGTTTCCCTCCTCCCCCAAATTATATTCTGGTAAGGTAAATTACACCGAGTAACAGGAGTAACACCATTAGATACAAGAATCGATACATTTACCTGTTTTTGCAAATATATTGATTGAAACATTACAGAAAGAATAACACAGTGAATTCCTGGTAAATCCAGCAGCAAGCAACAGAAATGCCTCATCTGCCCAAGAAGCAAACACACACATCCGGCCCTGCCTGAAGTTTCTGAGTTGTTGTAAGATAGTCTCTAAATGCAGCAATTCGAGGTAACCAAAGGTAATGAAGAACCAGAAAATTGATCAGTGTGCAACAAAAGGGAAAGACGTCTCAAAGGAAAACTGAGTTATAAATGGGCATTATCTCTTTACATGTGAATTCCATGGTATTAATGAAAAAACCCAGCCTGTTAGTGGTACCGACTGAGCAACTAACTGAACTTCTGCAGCAGCTCAGGGCAAAGGAAACCCTCTCCTAAAGCACAGGCACCACTTCTCAAGATACTGGTCCTGAACGTAACTAAAGGTATTCTAGGACAAAATATTCCATAATGTTATACACAAATATGGGATTTCAAATCACAGCAATGCAATGATGCCAAACACAGTTTATACACAAAAATTCTGAACACCTCCAGGCTTAAATTCTTTCATTTCTAAAAAACGGAGAATGAAGGCCTTGAAAGACTTATCCCTGTTAAATAATATCCAAGACAAGTTTGGTATAGAGAAGGAGGTTATTTAGAATTAAAAAGTGCTCTTCATTCCAGAAAAATGCATTCCAACTCAGAGATAAACTGAACACCAAGTCTATACACTTGGATTTTACTAAAATGAAGTCCTTGACCTACAGGGCAAATACAACATCGACAGCTGTAATGCAAGCTTTCCCCCAATGTTTTATCAAAGATGTTAGCCTTGACCTGAAGTAAGCATTTGCAATTCAGCTGCCATAGTACAGAAGAGCTACACTTTTTATGAGTATAAGCTGCTGACTGTGCCAATAGTGTGAAACTCTGTGAGGTGAATTTTTAAGTAGATTACGGTCAAAAACATTTTGTGTATTCATCTTCAGGCTTGGGCTGAATCTGACCTGCTGCCACAGAATCTAAAATATGCTGGTTCTACACAACAAACATTTTAATCACAGAGTATATTAGAAAAGGATTTAAAATCTAGTTAAAAACAAAAAAGATAAAATCTTCATTTGGCCATGTTGCATGAAGACCATGAAACTGTTCCAAATCTAGGAAGAAAAACAGATCTAGGCAGCAGCAGCCTGGGTTTTTTAAAGGGACTTGAAACACAGGTGACTTTTGTCAATTTGTAAGAGAAGGAAAACTGCATATGCTCCACTCTTGATAGTTCAGTTGGCTGGCTGCATACAGGAAACAGCAAATGAGCATGAAAGAATAGGGGTAAAAAAGTATAATGGAACTTATCAGGTAAACAATACTGTGCGATCATTACCTTCCTGACCAAAAAACATTGCCGGGAGGGAATGAAAAAGGTGATTTGTTTGTTTGTTTGTCTGATGTTAAATTCTCTGTCTCTGGTGAAACTCCATGAAAAATGATAGTCATTTATGTTCTTTGCACAGTAACAAAGACATAGGCATTTATTTTTTGTGAAATCTGGAGAGCTCAATTCTCTGCATGACACACACTAGAAAGAATTTCAACCTGTAACTATTAATCTACTTTACCAATTTTTTTTATGTAGTAATAAAAAGAAAATACAACTCACTTTTGGCATTTTATTCAAAACCTTTGACTTTTAATTTTCCTTTCACCTCTCTCTTAATTTTTATTCTCTAGACTTCAATGCCACTATTCTAGATACAGAGGAAAACACAAAGCAGACTCAAGAGATTCCTGCCTGTAATGAGACAAAGTTTCTAGTTCTGAAACATTCAGCAGTCACTTAAGTACTTACCACCTGATAATCAAGGTAGTAAGGACTTTCCTGACCATTCCCTCTTTTACCTTAAATAAATCAATACATTCTTCAAGTCACTTACCCTGTAGTCTCTGGACACACCTTCTGATGGGACAGACCCTGAAATCTGACTAGAAATGGTTGCAGCTATCAGCTGTTTACACCATTCCACATGGGATCCAGTTGGGCTACAAAAACAGAATATTTCAAATTATTGAGCAGCAATTCAAAACGTATACTGAGAAGAACGTAGCAACTGAGCACATCCAGAAAACGAGACCATAAATGATCACTAACGCCATAAAAATTAGCTTGCTTTGTGGGCAAAATGCAACTATTTTGCTGATCAAATTCAGAAAAAGAATTTTACTAGATGTTATCAGAGATGCACAGCTGTCAGTAGTAGTTAGGGTCCTAGGAACTTATAAAAATGTTGGTTTCCTTATCCAATGTAATTTTTTTCACTATTCACACATTTTTTTGTTAAAACCATCCATGGAACGAATTTGATCAAGTAATAGGAAGCTCCTTACACTTTCCTTACTATTACTTCCTGATTATTCAGTAAATCCTCAAAATTAAATTACTTTATGCTAGTAAACCTAACCATGAGACCAGTATTTAAAAATTTAAACTATGCTAGTGTTGTATTCTGTATTAATATTAAATATAAAAAATACATGTTTTCTAAAGGGTAACTTCTAGTTTGCAATATTTTTTTCTACTCATAAAATAATCTCTGAATAATCTTGAGGATGGGCCTTCCCATGCCACAGCAAGGAATTCTGCAGTGCGAGGTGTTTATAAGAACCCTAAAGACAAAGCATCTGAACATCAGAATCACACTAAATCCCAGATGATGCGTTTTGAGAACAGTCACCTGAAATAGTGCCGCTTATAAATAACGCAAAATTGAGAGTGAGAAGCAACTAGACGGTTTGTTGCCAGCCACTTTGAAGTGCGGTAGATCTGCTTCAAAACATGCCAGTATCTGATGAGAAACTGGGAATGACAGATGGAACTGTTCCCCGAGTGCCACAGCAGCCTCCGCTGATGCCTTAGATAACTGCCATTTCTTCAAACAGTTTAGTTGGGCTCTTCTACAGATTTAACACTTATTTGGAAGTCAAATACAAAAAGCAAAATTTAATTCATTTTTAGAATTCATTCATAAACAATCTTTGGAATCTATGAGTATCCTGTTACACTGAAGTGAGTAGCATACCCATCACCCAACAGGTGCACCACAACTTGGTCATTAAGAGGGTGGGATAATGACCAATTACTACTTAACTAAACGCCTTTTCTTATGTTAGCTCTGCTAGGATAGGTAGATATGAGGTGAAGATGCATACAACAACTTCATCCCTGAAAATAACACTCTTTAAGAACTTTTAGTAGCTTTCTCCCCACCTGCAAAATTCTACACAGGACTAGATCACAAAATGTTGTTTTGCAACTCAAATCCGTCTATTATATTCCTGCTTAAATAATGAAGACACTCTCTCAAGTTAGGGCTGAACTCAAGTCCAGATCCACTCAGAGTAACTTTTCACATAAGTTCTGCAAAAGAGTGCATAAACTGAAGTCCACAGTAATCCTCTTCTGATCTCGTTTATTTCTCCTTCGCTCGCACATCATAATTCCAAGTGTATCTCTTCAGGGTTAACCTAAGTTTGTTTTCAAATAAGCATTTACTTGTTGATTAAGAAAATGAATTATTTTTCTATGGCTTATCTTCACCAGGAATCACTACATCAACAAAGTTAATGCCAGTAGGGAAACAAATGTGAATGCAGGCCTACGATCCATGTTTCAGGATGTATCAGCGTACCACAGAATGCTGATCATACTGATGTGACTTATCGCCAACTGTCAAATGGGACATATACCAGTACACATCCCTTCACCCTGTCCCATCTGAGGTCACGCACACTAGTGTAGCCTGGTACAACTGTACTGGCAAATAAATAATGTATATGACAAATGGACATTATGACTTTTCCAGGGTAGAACAAGATTAGAAGAAAGAAAGACAAAAACTAAGGTAAGAAAGTACATTAATAAGGAATACAAAGTTGTAAGTTTTGGTGATAGAAAATGAACACTTGATTTCCCCCTTCGCTAGAATGATGCAAAACTCCAGCAGGTTGCTCCTAACATAAAAGAGAGAGAATATGGAGACAGGAACCTGTCACTGATTCCCAAGTACAGCCTTTTTTCTTTATTTTTCACCTGGGTGAAATTTCAGTCAGTTTCTACTCTTTATTTAAGTGTTTTTAAACTCAGCTTTGAAGTTTGCCTCCAGCTGGAGGCTTCTGAAGGACGGAACCGCACTGCCAGCGATGGCTGAACCAGGCGCGGTGAGAGCCGGCGTGAGGCTGGTGACACCCGCCGACCCGCGGCCGGCCGGACACCACGCCACCGCACCTACGGACCCACGGACGGGCCGGGGGCATCTCTGCAGGTGAAACACACTTGTGTGATAAAAAAAAAAACACAACCAAACCAAACCAAACCCAACCCGGGAATGAACACTTAAAATCTAAGAACGGTCTCACTTGTGATGGCGAAGATGAGGAGCTACGCACTACCCCACAAAAACCCCGGGCCAAAATCCTGCAGGCAGCCTCAGCCTTCGCGAAGCGGTGACGTTAACGACGAAAACCACACAACCGCAAGCAGGAAACTTTGACAACAGCCGGTTCTTCCCTCCCCGAGGGAAATCTGCCCCTGCCCT